TTCTTACTTCGCCCAAATCAGTTCCCCAGGAATCATCAAAAATGTGAGTGGAAATATTCAGATCCTTCCGAGCAACCTGATTTGCAATAGGACTAGTAAGACCCAAACTGAAATTATGGACACTCTCAAACTGCTAGCAAGCTTCTGAGCTTTTTCCGCATTTGTGAATAAAATTTTACACGTTCTCTAGGGAAGCTTAGCGCCCCAGAAAAAATAATATTTTGAATTTTCTAGAAATATATTACCAAACCTGGGACTTAGAGTGGGAAAATCATGCAGAACAGCTTTGTCGAGAACCGCTAACCGATTCGACTTTTGTGCAGAAAGCTTTTTTTTAACTTTAGGCCTAGTGAACTGCGCATACTTTACAAGCTTATATATACGCCTGTAGGTATGCGCGGTTCAATGGTCTAAAGTAAAAGGATTGAAATTTGTTTCACAGAAGTCGAATCAATTCAGTCCTAGGTTTGATAAAGTAATAAATAGTATTGTTCCGTTTCTCACACAAACTTTAAAGTTCTCGTGTAAATCCAGATCATAACCAAATTTGTTTAAATTTGCCATTGTTTTTGGGGACCTCAATACAGATCAAAAGAGTAGTTGGAGGCAGGGAATTGTAAAGTTTACCCGCCCTAGTGTACATCTCACCCAGAATTGGGTGGGGGGTTACTGGCAGGAAAGCTTTGATCGCTTCCAATGCCACTTGGCGGACTATGTTCTCGTAGCTTCTTTTCGGTTTTGTGGTGTTGATATTAAACAATCGAAGCAGAACAAAGTTTTTCAAATTTTTCGCGACTTCTGCATTCTTCGCGTCGGTATCCAAATAGGGAATTAGTTCTATAGACCGTCCATAATCGGTGACCGCAGATCGGGGATTTCGTTGAGGACGTTACCGAGCATTTTGGCGAACATGTGGAAGTTTAGAATGTCCGGCAGACGTCGACAAAAGCCGAGAAAAGACCCTCAATTATCAGCAGAGTAGTCCGAAGATGTGTTTTTGAATGTGATTGATGAATATTTTTGCTGAAAATGTATCCACAAATATAGAAGCGTATTCAAGAGTGTTTACAATTCAGGTGCTACTTTTCTTTATTTTAGATACTTTCAGCTTTGAGCTGTTTCGTATTTTTTCCATTGACGTTTGTGTCGTTTTATTTAAGTGGCTGATTTTTTTTTTTGTTGTATAAAACAATCTTCATCGTCGATAAAGAAGCACAAGCCGATGGCATTCAAATATTGTGTGCTTAACATCACCTGAATTTATCCATAATTTGTGTCACCATGAAGATAAACAGCGTTTAGAATCATTCTATTAAAATGCTGGTAAAAAAAATGACATTCCATTTTCCATGTCCGAATTTACTAATTCATAGAAATACTCAGAGGGAGAGATAGGCGGAGAAAACAAAAAACAATTCAGCAGCAGGGATTTGTACCTAAATTATCTTGCAACCCTTGCTAGAAGCCAGCATTTCACATGATAATAATTGATTGCATCGCAATATTTTGCACATTTCTTGGTGCCATTAATTAACCAACTAAACAATTAATCAATAGAGTTAGAATATTGTATTTGATTCCAAAAGCTAGTTGAATTTGAGAAGCACACGAAACATAAAGGTGATTGAATTTCTGTTCGATTGCAATACTTTAAAATATAATCTAGTAAGAATAAGAAATCCTCGGACAAATAGGAATGTTTTGGCAGTTTTTGGCAGTTCATTTGGCTCAAAACATTCTCTTCGCTTATCTCTCCCTCTGAGTATTTCTACTAATTCACCCATTGAAAGATGATAAGGTAGAGAACTACTTCGGCCTAAGCGCCTATTTTGGGTCTATCAAGCAGAAAACTTTAAATAAATCATCCCCTTCACTCTTTGCAATTTATTGAGACAGATAACAGCGCCAATAGGTCTGTGACGATACAACGTTGAACTACAGCGTTGGAAGCGCACACCATCATCTATACATGTACGAACCCACAGCACTGAGCGGAGGGTACAGCGCAAATCAAAACACGAAGCGGTGTCATCACTCATCGTCATCACTCAGCTTCGGCAGCTTCAGTTTGCGATTTCATTCGCCATAATTGACAAATCAAGCTGACGTTGCATTAGGTCCTAAGTAACATTGGCAGATTCTCTTCGTCGACATTCTTTTTGTATCCCCACGGCCATGTAAAAACATTCCAGTATTTTCAGCAGACACATCGATAAAAGAAGCTTTTATTTAGAATCTAATACGACAAACATAACAAGAAACGGCTAGGTGCTCAAGTTATTAACGAAAGAGAAAGTCGACGAAGACAATCGATCAATGTTACTTAGGACCTAATGCAATGTTCAGCTTGAAATACCTTCGTTTTAAAATAGAACAGTAATCATTGTTCCAATGTAATGTTTGAATAGCCAATAGCGTGCAGCGTTGGCCAAGGAAGACGGCATATTTTATTACGTTTGTTTAGCAATGATTTCGATACGTTGCGTTTTTGCCATGTATACTTCTATGCAACTTCTATTCTGTTGAGCAACAGCTTCATAAATCATCAATTCTCTATTACTTTTTCGAAGGGACGTATCTGCATTTGTAAACAATACATCTTACTGAGACCGTTGGTGATATTGGAAACTCGTTCACTCGATAGCAAAACATATTACAAGCCCAATCATGAAGTGAGATTGGATTTGTGATTGTCTTCTCAAGCGTTTCTGATGCGTATAACGTGGTAATGATTGAAAATCGATGCATTCATAACGAAGTGAAAATCTTGCTATCGCAATATAATAATGATGACATCGATCATCCTCTTCCCTCGGTTGATCATCAACGTCCACGCTGGCATATGTCACACTGACACCTGTCATTTATTGAGCCCTGGTGGAGAAGTTGTTTCAATGTGCACTCACCAGATAGCACTGCGATCACATAAGGGTGGTGTATCCATTAACTTTTTCGAGGAATTGATTAGTGGGATATCTTGTTAATTAAATATCTTTGAATAAATGCATTATTTCGGCGTTAACAGGTAAATTATGCGTTTGGTACGACACTTTAGTTCAAATGCTACCGAACAAAGCCAATAAGAACGCGTGATATGAATGTTTGCACCCAATATTCTCAAATACAAATGAATCGCTCCGACCGAATCAATCTTTATCTTCATCCGATAGGCCGAAGTGAATTCATTGGCGTTTCAATACGTTAGGGCGAGTTTAGAATCCGTGATTTACGTGAAATGAATTCGATAAGTCGTAATAACATGTTACATTATGGAGGCCTGAAATGTTTTGGAGCAGCAGCAATGCTGTTTTTTCAGCAGCTTCCTAAACTGGATTTTGTTTTCAGGAACCACGCCGGTCATAGAATAGCCCGATAGAATCTGTTTTATATCAATCGTATGTTAACCCAGTTTTGTTTTCCTCATCTCGTCAATATTTTGGAGCTTGACTCTGCAAATTTCGGCACAAATTGCCTACACGAAACGAAAATCAATTATTTTATTCATGTGTTTCACTTATACATTTTTGCCAAAACATCAGCCTTATACATTCCATAAAACAAACCACATAGGTCCAATAAGAATGCATAAAAGATATGTGTGACCGCTTATACATTTCATTTGACACATGATCTTCATTAACTTTTTACAAGGCGCCTGCTTATTAGTGGACTTCTACATTTTATGAATAATCCAAGGGGTAGGTCACTCCGCACACCAATCTTGGGTCATCTTTTTTGTCAGTGTGCCGCAAGTATGCCGATTGTGCCAGTCATAGAGCAAGCTGCAATTGTTTGTAAAATACCGATCCCGGCAACCCGGTATTTCTGACACCTTGAATGTTTTGGTTTGAAATCGCGAGGATAAATCGGATTGAGGATGACGCGGGAAGTGGCGAGTGTGCGAAATTTTGGTGTTTTGTGATCCATAGGGTAATTAAAGTCCTGAATTTTAGTGTTTTATAATATCCTCAAAGGCAGACCAGAAACCTAGCCTTTCGGTCGGAAAGAGTTGGAACCGGTGGGGAGCATTGTTGGAGACCGACTATAGAGGGTGATCAATAGACTTCTTTAGTTTGTTTTGTGTGAGTTGCAGCATTATTTGAATTAAGGGTACTAATGAAGTCTGATTAACTGCCTCTTCCTCTTGAGTCCACTCTAGAACCTACATTTCATGTTTATGTAGATCTATAAGTGAACTGTTGGTCTGAGTTCCTCTAGTATATTCAATTAGAAGATGTCCCTGAACATACAGTCAAACAACACGTAATGTTCTGAACAACTTCAATGACAGTTGTCCAGCAGTGCTCCCATTTTATTTACAACAATTTAATGCCTATGAGATTGTGCCGAAGGTATGATGAAAATGTGCCGATGGATGTGCCCAAGCTGTGCCGAATATAATTTCGGCACAATGTGCTGAGTGACTTACCCCTTGGAATAATCAGTAATAGAAATTTGCTAAAAGGTATAAGGAGATTTCTATCCGTGTAGATTCGGCAAACAAACTGAAGTGTACATGACCAAATAATTTGATGCATAATGTTTGTCTTCATTGTTTTTTACTCGTATGACGGAAATAAGTGCCATATGGGTTATGCCTAAACATGAATCCTTTCCAACACTTCTTTACTAAACATGCTATAAGCGATTTGTAATGTATTATTCTGAATAAAAGTTACTTGCAAGCCTTATTTTTATTAAAACAGGAAATTAGTTTTTTTTTTTTGTTTTACTAAAGAAGTTTCCTGTGGTTCTTCGCCTCTCAAGCTAAAGTATGTTACTAAAAGATGATGTGTATTTTTTCTTTTTGTGCAAAACTGAAAATTCCAGAGACATTTAAGAGAAAATGAAAACAAATGTTAATGGAATTTAATTTTTAAATCAGCCTAAAAATCCAATTAACTTTTTTGATTAAGCATATAAAAACAATAAAGTTAGAAACCTCTTCAACATTTCTCTAAATATTTGTCAAAATTACTAACTTCCAATTTATTTTACAGGAAAAGTCTGTTGCCACCACCGGCAATGGTGCTCCACTGGGCACCAAAACGGCCACTGCCACCGTTGGAGAACGTGGTCCAATCGTGCTCCAGGATGTGCACTTCCTTGATGAAATGTCTCACTTCGATCGTGAGCGTATCCCGGAACGCGCAGTCCACGCCAAGGGAGCCGGCGCCTTCGGTTACTTCGAGGTAACTCATGACATCACTAAATACTGCGCTGCTAAGATCTTCGAAAAAGTTGGCAAGAAGACTCCGCTGGCCGTACGATTCTCCACGGTCGGTGGGGAAAGTGGATCGGCTGATACTGCCCGTGATCCACGTGGCTTCGCCGTGAAATTCTACACTGACGATGGTGTGTGGGATTTGGTTGGTAACAACACTCCAATCTTCTTCATCCGCGATCCAATCCTGTTCCCGAGCTTCATCCATACCCAGAAGCGTAATCCTGCTACTCACTTGAAGGACGCCGATATGTTCTGGGACTTTATTTCACTGAGACCAGAATCTACCCATCAGGTTATGTTCCTGTTTGCTGATCGTGGCATTCCAGACGGTTACCGATTCATGAATGGCTATGGATCGCACACGTTCAAGCTTGTTAATGCTGATGGTAAGCCTGTGTATTGTAAGTTTCACTTCAAGTGTGACCAAGGCATCAAGAATTTGAACGTAAAACGTGCTGATGAGCTCGCAGGATCCGACCCAGATTACAGCATTCGTGATCTGTACAATGCTATTGCCAAAGGAGAACATCCGAGTTGGACTATGAAGATCCAGGTTATGAGCTTCGAAGAAGCTGAAAAGATCAGTTTCAACCCATTCGATGTTACCAAGGTTTGGTCTCAGAATGAATTCCCATTGATTCCAGTGGGTCGCATGGTGCTGGACCGCAATCCAAGCAACTACTTCGCCGAGGTTGAGCAAATCGCATTTGCACCGTCGCATTTAGTTCCTGGCATTGAACCATCCCCGGACAAGATGCTTCAGGGGCGACTTTTCTCTTATGCGGACACGCACCGTCATCGCCTTGGAGCAAATTATCTCCAACTTCCGGTGAACTGCCCATATCGGGTTGCTACCAGGAACTATCAACGTGACGGCCCAATGACAGTTACTGATAACCAAGGAGGGGCCCCAAATTATTATCCGAACTCCTTCAGTGGACCAGAACCTTGCGGTTTTGCCCACAAGTTGCAGAATTCTAAGCATACTGTCACTGGAGATATTAATCGCTTTGAGTCGGGCGATAGCGAAGACAACTTTGCCCAACCGACAATTTTCTATCGTCGCGTGCTAGACGAATCCGCTCGTGAGCGTATGATTTCGAACATGGTGGGTCACATGTCCAACGCTTCGCCCTTCATCCAGGAACGCGCGGTTAAAAATTTCTCCCAGGTCGATGCCGATTTCGGACGTAGATTGACCGAAGGTTTGAAGCTGCGCCGTTCGGCAAAAATGTAAATGTTAAATGTAGTTCGTACGTTTTTGCTGGGTTGAGAAGTACACACAATCACACACATACAAGCTTAAATTTTGAATCCTTATTTTAAATTCATTAAATATACTAAGTAGAATTCATGGATAATAAGTTTGAAGGATTAAAAGAGAAGGAATATGGTGAACTTAATTGTAAAACATTCTGAATGTTTTTAAAATAATTGAAAGGTATTTTTATATATTCTAGCTGGTACTATGCTTTCAGATCTTATTCGAATCTAATAAAGTTTAACGATTTCCTAAACGTGTTTCGTGAAATTGCATATCACAGTCCTTAAATAAGCTATATAGGTATGATATGGTATTCGATAGATTTTAGCTTTAGAAGGTTGTGTTTGGTGAAGACATAAGGTACTTTGTATAATGGCGTAAACTCAATTCTGTAAAACTTGTTTCAAAAAATCTGAAAAAAAATCAAATAAAAACATGGTAGTATGGACATTTTTGAACTCTTTTTAAATAAGGACGAAATCGAAAAAAATGAAAATCGCTACCTACCTAACAAAAGTTAGTGTATGTACTTAGATATTGGTTTAGCTGAATTATCATTTCGAGATCGGGGAGAATTAGCTGTTATTAAAACTTTATTTGGGATTTATAAAATTACCTATGTGTTAACCACAATGATACTCTATGAAACAGATACCAGATATAAGGTTGGTGGGAGTAAAATGGACAGGCGGTGTAAAACGGACAAGGACTTGTTTCCTCAGGAAAACGTTAAATATAACTGTTTTGTTCATGACCCCTTATGCCGAAACAAATGATAATTTTTACTTTTGTCACCCCCTCCCTGAATCATGAGAGTGGGATATAAAACAATGTAATTCATGGTTTTCTTGCTCAATTAAAAATATACACTTTTTTTAATCATAGAGTAGTTTACATTCGAAGATTACTCCTTCTTAAGGGGCTCGTGGATTTTCCTATGTTTCGAGGGGTGCATCGATTAGCTTGGGACCGAAGATAGTACCAGAGCTGAGCAAAAAAGTTTAGCACGTTTCTTCGGAACCTTCTGGTCTTAAAGTTACCTCTATGATGGTACTGCTTTCTCACCCCAATGGGTCTAGGTTCAATCCCAGCCGAGGTCGGTGGGATTATTATGAGGCAAAAAATCGCTGGACACGTCTTCCTTCGGAAGGGAAGTAAAGCCGTTGGTCCCGGCCCATGTGTGTTGTTGTGAATGGGTGCGATATCCTACGCAGGTGTGGAAGCTGCCTTCCAGCACATTCGATTGCCGACGTTAAATAAAGTAAAGGAATGAATGGCTGTCAGTGAAGCAAAGAATTGTGGTGTTCATTTTTAAAGTAGTTAACGGTTTGCTGCTTCGATATTTATGTGATCGGATTGAAAGAGGAAGTGATTTTCATAGATATAACACTAGAATCACGATTGATATAAAAACACCACATCTTTTGAATAATACTTCATAAAATTTATGATTTTTCAAAGATATAAATGTTTTCAATTCGATGCCTAGACGCATCAAGCGTGCAACTACACTAACAGAATTTAAGAGACGGTTTTTGGTTGATGCCTATACCACAAACGAAGTAACAGACGACTAACTGGCGAAGAAATCAATTAAAATAAAGTGGTTCACTGTAATATAATTGTCTAAGAAGCTTGTGCCATCAGCCACCAGATGGGCTAGTATTTTTGTTTTGATTTTAACAAAGTTGATTTTGTATGCAATTATCTTTGACAGTGTGCAAAGAGTGTATCATTTTGTCATTTATTTTTATACATTTCAGTTTTGAGTAGAGTGAAAAAGATAGAACCAAAACATTCTAGTACATTTAGTGTTGCCATGTGGTACAATCCAGTAGTAGTGTTGTCATGTGGTACACTGAAAAATTGCAATAGCAGGTTAGTCACCAAAGTTTTCAAGCCGCTCCGTCTGTTACTTCATTTGTGTCTATACTGCCATGTGCGGCAGAACAGTTCCATCAGCATTTTTAGTGAAAATGAGTTATATATTAGAATCGATTGTCAAGTACCCTCACTTTACAATAAACTCGATAAGTTTCTTACTTTGATCTGAAAATGTCGCAAATAATACCAAAACTATGCTGTCCTATCCATAAGAGCCCATAGTGAAAAAAATCTACAACAGCGTTTTTCACAGCTTGCTGTTTTAACGAATGGGACAACTATGCCGAAAAGGGCAGTATAGCATATTTAACAAGGAATTTATAACTGTAATTGTAACCAGCTCGATTTTGTTTGCAAACCTGGTTAAAATGTTTATATTTGTTTTAATCATACAAATGCAAATCGCTAGCTTTCATGCTAAAAAATACTGATTTTTGAGTCAAAAGTTACTATACGTCGTTTGGTGGCCCCTATTGTTACTTAAGTCAAAGTGTATTTACCAGGATATTCGAGAGATTTATCAATTACGTCTCCTTACGTGCAGCCCATTCATCATTTCAGGACCACCGAAATCATCTTAGCAACAAACAGTTAGATTTATTCACTTTAATAATGAGAAAGCGAAAGGACGAACGTTTTCACTGTTACTTAAGACAAACGACATATCCATAGAAATCGGGTGACTTAAGTAACATCGAAAACTATTTTGATCGGAAGGTGATTGCGTCAAAAAGCAAAATGGGATGTGATCCTATATTCGGACAGTATATAGTGTAATAGCAGGAGAATCGATTGACACTGATAGCTCGACTTTGTTTACCTTTGTTACTTTCTTTCCTTTATTTAACGTCGGTCTCTGTTCCGCAATCTAGTGCCAATCACCGACGGACATCGATTGCCATCCATTGACGGCAACCGAATGTGCAGGAAGGCAGCTTCCACACCTGCGTAGGATATCGCACCCATTCAAACACACATGGGCCGGGACCAACGGTTTTACTTCCCTTCCGAAGGAAGACGTGACCAGAGATTTTTATGCCTCAGAAAAATCCCACCGACCTCGGCTGGGATTGAACCCAGACCCATTGGGGCTTTGTTACTTTCGACGTAATGAAAATTTACTCTTGGTTTGAAATTCAAATTCACCGATCGACGGAAGACATTCCGCGCAAATACCATAAACAGGACTAGTCAAGCTTCGTCTACAATTTGGACTTCTACATCAATCAATCAATCAACCTGATATTCAATTGGCTAAATTTGGTGTGTTCGTTTCATTTTGTAAATTTTTATCTTTTCAAACCAGTAACGTTGGGAGATCACCTTTTTGTGGTGCGTTACTGCTATACGACCTTCAACCGAACCCTAGTCGTGACAACTTCAAATTAGTGATTCAGGATTTTCCAGTAATCAAAGGATTACGTTTTAGTGCGTTTTACTTTTTATGACTTGATATCAGTTACAAGACTTGGGTAGTGACCATGCACCATGACCATGCACCATGACCATGTTATGCATTCTCATTTCTGCATTTTTCAAAAATATTGATTATGTTCATAGAGTTTACATAATCCTTTTCCCTTTGTCCTCCTCCTTTTCCTTTCCCTCTTCTCTTTTCAGAAAGCGAGTAGTGGCGCTGTAGCCATAAGCCATGAAAGGCTAGGACAAGAGTTAGTGTTCATGTCCCAACCGTCAGAAGAAAATGGAGTATCACTTAACCTTTCTAGCTTTGATGCTTCCAACAACCAAACAATCATATAATTACCAAAATCGGAACGTACGGTACGAGATGTCCACGTTTCATCCATTTATTGGATTCTGAAGCATCGTGTTTAAATCTTCGGTTTAAACAGGCCCGATGTTTTCTGAATCATCTTGCCCCTTAAATGCTGCACAGTAGGCCTGGCCGTTTTGATTTACGTAACGCATTTTCGATGTGAAACATATATCAAATAGACAAGAAAAATTGTGGAGGTATATCCATTATTTTCCAGGATGCTTTCAAGAACTGGTTGTGTTGATGTTAGATAAGATTAGATTAGATTAGAACAGGTCGGTAAAAATAACCGAATCGTTCGATACATAAATACCGAATTGTTCTGTAGTTTTGACAGTTCATCGGAAAAATCCGTTTACCGATCGTTCGGTAGTCTTTTCGTTTACCGAACTGATTACCGAGCATTCAGCTGTTGAAAGTTTGGTAAAAAATTACCGATTACGGTAATAATTTCTGGATGGAAAATGGTAAAATAAAGATATTGATATAAATAACGTTTGGTGTTCTTGACTATTCATTGTTTCTCTTTCTTTAAATGATCCATAAATCATCCGAATTCTAAAACAAAAATCCTGCACTGATAAAATTTTAAAGATTGATTTTTTGCAATGTGATCAACAAATGATATCTATGTGTCGGACACATACTTAATATGTGTACACATAAAAGCCATGTGTAACCACACGTACTATTCATTTGATTCATAAATTTCATGTGTGCTTCACGGACAGAAAATTGTTTGCATTGAACAAAAAATAAAACATTAGTTGTATTTTAACAAACAATTCCGGTTGAAATTATATTGCACTTTATTGTTTTGATAATACTTATTCAAATAAATTCAAAATAAGATTCTTTTTGTTTTAATAAGCTTCTTTTCAACTGCAACTCCCTCCCCATGGACATGGAGGTTGACGGTACTGAAGCAAAGGGTTATGTTTAATTTCTTTATATTTGCAACGATGATGATTTCCTATAGTGACACATATCACCTTCTTAATGCTTCAGTATACCTCAAACGATTAATTCTTGGTTGTTAATAGAACTTCCTTGATGCAATCGGCTGCTTCATGCAGACTGAGCAATTCTGATTATAGTATCAGATTTGTTCTGTATACAGAGGAACTGGGAGGGCTTATTAGAAACTTCTCACCAATAAAGTAATGACCTTCTAGTAAATTTTGCATATCATTTTATTAATATTTTATTTTATTTAAGCATATTATTTTTGTTACAGTCAATTAGCATTAGCATACAATACAAGAGATTTAATATTACTTGCTCGGTTTTGCGTAAAATAATCAATATGTATTTTGCTTTGAATTACCTTTATTTTTTTTTTTTTGTGATTTCAAAATTTTCCTAGTTTAGAAGTTTCGAAGCTAACACATGTCCACAGGCCTAATAGAAAGATAGACAGACAAAGCGTATCATGAAGAATAGTTGCATGCAGGGTTGCTTCCACTCACTTTCTATAGATGAGTGATTTTCGGAGTTTTGAATTCGTTAGATGTTGTAATGGAGGTTTGTGTTGTTGGATGCGGGAGGAGATTGGAGGGCGGGTGTTTGACGCATAAAGCCTGTCAATTTCGCTTTCAGAGTGTCGCAGTCAGTGATTCGTGAGCGCTCGTGATTCGTAGAATCGTTGATTGTGACTGCCAGTGGATTTGGCGGGTTTTGTGTGTCAGACGCTTGCTTTTTTGCCTTTTCTTGTGTCTAACATGTGCAGAGTATCATTATAGCGTCTAATGGTTTTGAGATTCCTGGTTGCGTGAAATATACTTGTGAGAATATCTTTTTGAGATTTTAGTAGTCACGTTTTGTTTGTAGTTTATATGTTATTTCTTTCATGTAATTATCGTAAATAATAGTTCTTCAATAATAGATAATTCATCCATATATTCAATAATAAATTTACGAATGACTATAATTTGGATACCTAACAATTGGACAGAATCACTAGCAAGAATAGGTTGTGTTCGCCTTCGAAAATATCGATTCGTTTTTTCAGGGTTGTAGTTTTGGTTTTCATCAGTGGCCCGGCTCTGATTGTGAACGATTTAGGTAGTATTTTTAGGTAACTATTTAGCTTTTAGCACAACTTTGCTACTACGAATCCACAAAAGACATTAAATTGGAGGCGGATTCTGGTACGGAATTACAGGCTGCTATTCTGAGCAACTTATCTTCATAAAATTAAAAATTACATTTAGGTATTAATTAGCAAATATGAATAGTAGTTAACTTTAACATAATTTTGATAAAACAATCATTTCATCCAGTTCACTTTAAAACAAACAAGTATGAAAGGAGATTGCTTAGAATAAAGATAAAAGTAATAAGCGCAATATTAAACGACATTAAATTTGAATCTGATACGGTAGGCCATATAACAGAGTCGATAGCCATTGCAAATCAACCATCTCTACCTGCTTATTTTCCTAACTTTCACTATTATTGCTGTTACTCTGACTATCCCCTATGTTCAACAGCTTTCCTTACTATCCGGTATCGTAAACAGGATTCATTTGACCCCTGTGGTTATTATTCTGTGATGCCAAATCTATACCTCTACCCTGGTGCAGTATGGACAGCGATTTTTCGCTGGTGACTTGGCCCTATGACCCCCTTCTGTGCTTGAAAATGAAAATGAAAATTAATAAGCTTCTTTTCAACTGCAACTATTTTAAAAATAACAATATTCTTTTATTAAGCCAGCAATAGTTAATTTTAATTTAGCATTTATTTGCTGTGTCCATTCCCCAGGCCATGAATGCAAAAATAACTACCAACCATTCCCTCGTTTTCACCCGGACAAAAATGTAAACAATAACACAAAACTGTTCTCGTTTGATTCAGATCTTTTCCGAGCTCTTTTCCGCGTTCCACGTAAGTATTGTTTTTAATTGTGAATTTTGAGAAATAAGTGCAAGATTTCCGAAAATCTTGAGACTTGAGGTAAGTAAGTATGCTGCAGTTGCTAAATATAATCAGTTTTTTCTTCTGTTTTTTCCTTGATTTGTTTTCCGTCAATCTTGTTTTCCGTGGTGAGCACCAATGCTACCGACACCAGGGAAGCAGCTCCCACACCTGGACCACAGACAAACAGACATAACACTTGCAAGTTGTTCATCGAGCAAGAATTTAATGGTCAATTTAAAAGTATCGTAGTTGGTAGTACCGCCACCTGTGACGCGCATAGTCAATTCCCTTGCGTTTGACGTTTACACACTACCGCCATCTGTTCAATGTACTACCAACCGCAGTGTACTCAACAGATGGCGGTAATGTTTTAGCGACGATGTTTTACATTGAGAAAAATCCAATGTGTTATGTCTGTTTGTCTGTGCCTGGACCCTACCTATCGACCCATCAACTCATGAACCGGGAACCAAAGGCTTTAGTTCCCTTCCGAAGGAAGGCGTGATCAGAGATTTTATGCCTCAGAGAGGTTTTTTAAATTGAATCGCAAATTATTATTGAATCAATAAACATATTTTTATTTCTACTGCGTATATTTTCAGGCTTAATAAAATAAATATGATTAAATCAACAAGAAATCTTTTAAAAACAAACTTTTTTTTTTACTTAGCTGTCAAATTTGACGGCTTGCGTCAAAACCATGAAAGCTCTTGTAAATTCGAAAAGATTTTCTTTTTGATTTTACAATCCATGGGTTTTGAGAAACAAAAATACTGGATTGTTGAAACAATAATGATTTCTTTTTGCAGCCAAAACAAAATGAAATTCTTGTTAATTTGGCGTAAAATATGATTACGTTTAAATTTTTTTATCTGCGTGGGTGGATTCTGTTTACGTGTGGTCACATGAAAATCATGTGGAATTTCACATGGAAACTAGTCAATAAAAATTTGTGGAATTTTATTAGTGCGGCTTTAGGATTTCTAAAAAAGGGTACTTTGTATCCATTTTATAGAGGCAATTATTATTTAAAAATGTGTAAAAAAGTACCCCATGATTTTACGTACAAGCTCTTTACTCATTAATTTGGGTACTTTCCAATTACAGTACACACTGTAACATAACCCATTGAAATAAAGTAGGTTAACCAATTTAATGGGTAAAAAAAAAACTCATTAATGTGTATTTAATACCGATAAATAAGTAATTGATACCCATTATCGGGTACTTATTAATGGGTTAACCCACTTTACTTCAAAATGGGAGAAATTGTACTCATTAATGGGTACTATAATGTTAGAGTGCAGGTAACGGTAGGAAATTCAAGCTGAACAATGCAGTAGGTCCTAAATAACATTGATCGATTCTCATCATCGACTTTCTGTTTCGTTAATAAATTAGGTACTGAACCGTTTCTTGCCGTGTTTGTTGTATAAAATGGTAGATAATAGCTTGTTTCGTCGATCTGTGTGCTGAAATCAACTGGCAACGTCTTAACATGGCTGTGAGGATGCAAAGAGAAAGTCGACGAAAAGAATCTGTCATTAGGACCTAATGCAATGTTCAGCTTGATTTGTTTAAAATAAATTCCATATTTTGAATTCATACTGCTCTGTCCATAAAAGCATAACAGTCCCATATGAATGTTTGCCAGAAATGAGTTATCCATTAGAATTTGTTGTTGTTGTTGTTGGAGTTTCGATTAATTGGCCCGAGGAGCTGTGCCTCATAAACGCCAGTCGCAATCCATTAGAATTGATTGTAAACTACTGTTTTTACACTGTGTACTAAAATTTACATGTTTTGTTCGGAAAATATCGTAAAAAATACCAAAACTAGGATGAACAAATAAATTTCCAACAGCGTTTCTCTCGGCTTGCTGTTTTTCCAGATGGAACCGATATGCTTTTATGGGCAGTGCTGTCACGATTAAATCTCGCGTAACATTTGAAAAGGGCCTATGATCAAAATGTAAACAAACCGATTTTTGATACCATTCTGTAGCACTGGTAATTAGCTACCAGTCGTATAGGAATGTTCCGCATTATCGATAAAAATCATTAAAAATAACTTGATTTTAAAAACGGCCGATCCACGAAATTTTTCCAATCATTCATGCTAAAACGGCCTAACCTCGGGCCTAACATATATTTTTTTCGTTCGATGAGGTTCCATTCATAAGCCTAGCGACGTAGAAGGGCCGATGATTGAAAAATTTCAAATCAAAGCTAGGCCCTACTGCTTGAGGCAGGGCCGATGATTTATTTGACGTTAAGAAAAGGCTTAGCAAAGGGCCTACAATTTATGATGACAAGCACAACGGCTTAACAAAAAGGGCCTAACCATTTAAAGATTCACAAAAAGGCTTATTACTGTGATATTAAATTTTTATCGATTTTCATGTATTTTTGAAAACGTTTCGCATGTTTTGGATGTTGTGTACTGAGATATAGTTACTATTGTTATTGTGAACACTATAAATGCCTAAAATACTTCAATTTATTTATATAGGAATTAAATACTGGCGGAAAAATTTACAATTAATTTTCTGGATTGTTTACATTTTGGACATAGGCCCTTTTCAAATGTTACGCGAGAAATATGTTTGTGAATTTTATACAGCAACCTCTGCATCTTCATAATAGGACATAAGCATACTTTATGAATGAAAAATGACATCGACCAAAACAAACGTAAAAATCCAACACGATTGCTTATTGGCCGCCACACTCACCACTACAAACAGTACCGTTGGAGTCCTTCAGCAAACACCATTAGCAACTAACAGTACTTCTGGCAACGCTGGCTCGGAGAGTGTGCCGTTGCACTGCTACAATTTTTTTCTCCTTCACCATCAGTTAGTAGTCATCCATCGTCTTCGTGCAAAGCGCCGTACAAAGAAAAGGCACATTCGCGCAGCAAGTTTCATAGCGGACTACCTCTATCATCTATAGAGTCAAAATTCGGGTCGTCGAGGCGAACCGCGTACACATTCTCGTTTCAGTCGTGTCAAGAAAGTAGTGAGCTTTTTCCTGTACGTATACGTATTTTTTTTGCCTCCATCCAATTCTCGTCCATCGGTCGGTCGTTCAATAGCCGTCGTCGTCGTCGTCGTCATCATCATCGTCGTCGTCGTCGCCTCGTCGGTGTGTAGTGAACAAATTTTACGGAGGTATTTTGTCCGCGCGCTCCGCGATCGGGAAGCTAATAAGTTTCCGCTAGCAATAGCAACAAAACTCCGCTCGCGTTCCCGAAACCCGAAAAAAGATGGATTCGGACATTCCGGAACTTTCCGACGAAGCCGAAGAACATGTCAAACTCGAAAATGGCGATGAGGTAATCAATGCACGAGCGCCAGCAGGCTACATCCGAAAGAAAAGGAAAAACTGCGCTGCCATCGCTCGGCTGTCACTTTCGGAGGCCTGCCGCGGAAAATCTACTAGTGATTGACGGAAAATGGTGTCTAGTGATGGGGAAATGGGATTTCCGAAGGATCTGCGAAGATCAGAGATCGATGTTTTGTGCAATTTGCGTGTGTGTATTGGGACATCATAGCCATCATCGGAAAGAAGAAAAAGTTGAACGTGGAAAAATGGTGCCCCGTATATCGGGTCCAGTTGAGAGTGTATTCGTGTGGGTGAAAAAGCATCCAAACGAGGATCGTTTCGGAATCGCAACACGACGAACATTCCATCAATGAGGGCCCCATTCGGGAACGACGACCAGGGCTGCCAGATGGAGTGATTTCATGGAAAGCTCAAAAGTTTTGGTCGACCCTATTGATAACAAATTTAAAGCATTAGGTAGATTTGGTTTACTTCAGTCTTCTAATAATCTAAAGTGATCCTTGCAGTGGTGGATAATTAATTGCAAGGCATGGCGTTCTTAAAATCAAACGGTCGATACTTTTTCATCAATATTTTTTTTATTTAATGAAAAAATTTCGTTCGTTAATGTACAAGTTGCTGTAAACAAACATAGTGATAATTGAAAATTATAAGAGTTATGATGAGCGCATTTATCTTGTTATGCACTTGTATTTATACAATTATTGCAATAATAGCACAGGTAATCATAATTTTCCGGTCCGTCCAATGTTTGCCAATCCATCATTACATCAGCTTCTTCGTGTGCTCTTTATTCCTTTCAATTGAATACTATAGAATTCGAGTGAGCAACTATTGAAATACTTGATTTTATTCATAAACTTTTTATATAAATTTTGGTTGATAAAATTGTAAAGTAGATAGGATCTGGAAAACAGAAGTGAACTTATTCCTATTTTCGAGAGAAATGGTATTTTCATGTTCTTGTTGCGAATTTCCGTGGTTTACGAGTCTATGAAATCTCCAGTTTTTATTAAGCATAAACTAAGTCGATAGTTTTTTAGAGGATGTACTGCCCTTCTTTTTTCCCCCGTGTAAATAATAGTCCATATACATTTTTTAGAAATCACGGATGAACTTTTGTTCATCTACTGAAAAAAAATGACACAACATCGGGACCCTGTTTACTAAAAATGAGCGCATGAATAATGCTCGCGTAACATTTGAAAAGGGTCTATCAACTATTGTAAACAACTTGCTAGGTCCTTTTCACGAGAACCGAAGTACGCCCACGCAAACCAAGAGCATTATCGGGAAGGAAAGTATTTCCCTTACCCGATGGTGTTGTTAGTTTGCGTGGTCGTATTCGGTTCGCGCGAAAAAGGCTTAACACGTTTTTTGTACATAAGTTGATAGGCCCGTTTCAAACATTACGCGAATATTATTCATGTGTTCATTTTTAGTAAACAGTAAAGCTGTTACGTCATTTTTTTACTAGATGAACAAAAGTTCACCCGTGCACTCGTCTATTAGGACCGTAGACACTTGCCAATAAAATTTTCTATTAATCAAAAAATAATTTCATATGCATATTTTTGAACAGGCCAGAAATTTTAGATATCAACTTATTACAAAGCAGTAGCGGTTTTAGAACAGTATTGGCAAGCGATACTAATGTATTCGAATGTCTAATGAGATGTGAAATCTGCAATATAAAAAATCATTTTCTTTTCGTGCACACTAACACAACAGAATTACATTTTGACATAATTTTATTCTTTGTTGGCCTGAGCGAAAATAGTTCTGAAGTACATTTTGACAGACTAGTAATGATTTTATTCTTTTCAGACATGCACTGTAACTGGAAAATACCCATTAATGGGTGAAAAAGTGCCAATTTCGATGCAAAGTAATCTGTTTACTCATTTAATGGGTAGTCCCAGTCTCCCTCGAAAATGCTTTCTTTGTAGTCATTATTGGGTATTTTGCGGTTACCGTGTAGTGCTGGCCGACATTGCTGTTTATGAGGCTCCGTTCTGCGGTCATTTCATTGCTCGTGGACATGATGCTCGGCAAGCTCTCCTGAGATCTCCTTGCGGATCCAAAGTTTTAGAATAAATTAGTTTCTCATTAGTTTTTAATCGTTTCAAAATAATTATCACCTGGTCCGAGGGGCACGCAATACAAAGAACCGGTGCATGAAGTTAAAATACAATCAAAAGTACTTAAAGTAATTAATGCGGTTTGAAGCAGTACTGACGGTAATTAAAATTATCTATCCGATAATTATGTAATTAAAAGTATTGAAAATGTAATTTATGTACTTTAATTACGAAATTTTAACTGTAATCAATAGAGTTAAAAAGTAGTTAATGTTCTACATTGTGTAATTAATGTAAATAAAGCAGTAGTTAATAGAATTAATTTAATTTCAGCCGTTGCCTGCGTTGGAGTTAAAGGATATTGCGTGCCCCTAGACCTGGTCTTTTATTAAGTGTAACCAGCCTAACCAACATCAGGTCTCCCGTGAAACAATACACAGTCAACACTCCCTGATTCCCTAAATAATGGGAACAAAACGGACTAAAATCTATTTCTAATGCTGTGCATTTTGCCTACAATGAAACAAAATATAATATATTACACTAAACGTTCGCTAACTGAAATGTACTATTTGAAATTGGTATATGGTAGCCAAATGCTGATCTCTGTCAAAAATTGCGTCAATCAGCACAGGCAAATTTTACTTATTGGGCTCTAGTGGATAGTTGGTAAACGATTTTAATGATTGTCGAACGTTTAGTGTATATATAACATATAGGTAGAATCAAATGCCGTAACTTAATTTATTTGTGATACCTACTGTAAAAATTAAGCATACAGCCAGGTACATATGTAGTCCAATTGGTCGTGGTCTATCGTTTCTATCTATTACCAAGCGGACATTTAATTTTATTATTTGTTTTGCTTGTAGACACGACCCGGCTTCTTGCATTCATTCTGCCCGGAAAAAATAGCCATGCAATTACCATAAAATAAAATTCAATTACAACTAATTCTATTTCCAACAACCGATCTTATTGTACGTATAACATACAAGTAAAATTAGCATATTGTTATAATAATAGGTCTACAGTACGTCCCATATAGTAAGAATTTTCAAAAATAGAAAAACAATACCATTAATGCTAAAGTTTGTTCGGAAAAAAGTACTTTTGTCTATGGTTAAGATACATCAGATACAACGCCCTTGTTCTATTGTAGATTTCTCTATTGACCATAGATTCTATTGTGGTAATATTAAATTGTATGGTTATTATATCGTTGTGGAAAATTCTTCGCTGCACACAGCGTAAATATTTACGTTTTTTTGAAAAAAAAACAGGTTATCATGACAAACCCTGGACGCACTAGCTCTCATTTTTTTCATTCGCGTTGTTTCAAAGATCAAAAAGTTATCATTACCTGATGTCGTTTTCGTTTTTGCTACACTACACCGGTGTAGAGCAAGCAGTAATAAGCGCGAGTCATTGACAGCTCATCATCATTTGATTATAAACAAAGGTGCAACTGATAGCTACACCCTTTTTTTCGGTGTTCGGCGGTGTAGCTACATCGCAAAAACGAAAACGACATGAGATTTTTAATGATGTAAATATTTACACGTCGTGCATTGAAGAATACGATTTATTGTTAGTACAATAAATTCTATTGTATGGTAACAATACATATCATTGTATTGCTGATTGCATCTGAAACTGGACTGTCCCAAAAATGCAAAAAGTGTGATAAAAGTGCACGTTTCCGTCAAATCGGTTTTGATCACGGGACTAACATCAAATGTTTCCACTATGGGATTTCACAAATTTGACAGTACCCTCTTAACTGGTCTATAAATTTATAGCCCATAACAAACTTGAACAACACATACGAACTTTGTGACTGTATTGCATATTTTAGAGCTGTCGCTTACACCGCATGTGTTTGTATTGCGTTGGGTATATGTGTGTGAGTGATAAATAGCAGACAACAGAAAAATGCTGGCTTAGCAGTCCCTTGGTTTTGATGTCTTCGGAGCACTTATTGCTTGCATCATAAGGAATAAGTGCACCAAAGACACCAAGACGATTAAAAGTAAACTTGCAACGCGCTTATTAGTCCAATTTGGTGTGAAACGCGCAATACCTCTGTGGTACTTTTTCACGGATTAGCTCGGTTGACCTAAAATGTATATCATAAATAAAGTGGTCAACCCTTTGGCTTCTCTGACACCGTTCTTGGCAGCACTGCGCAATCAGTCCGAACGCCATATTTGATTTTCGTATCGCTCGCTCGCTCTGTTGCTTTTCGCTGTCGTCCACGACGTCGATAGCGAAGACGACGACGATGGCATGGCTGCGACCACGATTGCCAGCGCTCACTCACTCGCCCATTCGACTTGCTCGCTCGTTGCTCTGAATAGCTGTCTATCGGTAAATCCGGTGCGTGTGTGCGAGAGCGCAGTGGGGCGAGTTCGCACGACCAAAATGTTATGATGGGAGAATTCGAGGAAGCTTTTATTGTATGTTGCGCCGCGAAATACGTGGATATGTGTTGGATAACACGAGACGAAGGCCGTGATCTTTCGTTCTTCGAGACACGGGGAGTCGATGATGAACGAATATTTTTCAAAGTATTTTTGTTTACGTTTTTTATAGTGACTTTGTTCGGGTTCTCGCGACTGCTACTACTTCTGTTTGCCATTGCCACCACAACATAACATTGTTCCCGACACCATGCCTGGTGCTAGTACGCAAATAAACAAACCGAAGTACTGAAGAGATTCGGCTCAACGAGGAGTCGTCCGTTTAGTCGCTAGCGTCCAATAGGATTTCTGTTTACATTTTTTAAATCCTGCTTTCAGTTGCCAGCAGCTGTGGTCTTCGTCACACGTGAATCTTTAAAAAGGTTAGTTTCCTTTTCGATAAGGTCATAATCAGTCGATAGTGGCACACTTATTACAGTGTTGTCTTGTTTGATTCGCTTCGTCTCTGTTTAAGTGTTGTTATTTCCAATGCGATCTACATTTTCATTTCATGCCTGTGTCTTGCCTGCCACCATGTGTATGAGTGTCGTAAAAGAAGCCAGAAACAAGCCGCCAGTACACGTAGCGTAAATGCAATGTGTCGAGAAATCGAAGGCACAAACCAAGGCAGTTGACTTAATTTTAAAACTAATTTGCATATGCACCGAAATAGACATCTGAATCAAGCGAGAAACAAAAAGAAGTTTGCCTAGCCAGGGGCAACAAATTCACTTTCGATCAAAGCACTACATATTCTCAGCTAGGTACAGCTCAGCTATAGTTGTGAGCTGCAGCAGCAGTAGCAACTAGATGCATTCATTGTAAATCCTTGAAAATGAAAGTATAGAGCAAAAAATAAATGCAAAAAAGCCCATGAGCTGACTCTGGTTAACACTCAGAAACAGAGTGAGAGAGAATAGAAAATGCTACCTTGTTACGCGTGTAGGTTATTGCTGTTAAATAACCCAAAAAGTTTGCAGTGTATACGATGCCGGTTATTCAACTCTCAAGCTTGAAGATTGGATGGAAGTGGAAACCATGCCACATCTCGAATAAGGTGTAGACAATCGAAACACTTGAAATGAACCTGTTATTAGTGATGTAAATGCAATTTTAAATGCAGCATTGAACACAATAAGGCTTTCTGCCTTTCAGTGTAGTACTATTTTTTTAGATTTATTTTATATTATTATATTATTCACACTTACAAAAGTTGTAAATTAATCTACAAAAGCAATAATAGAATATCAAGAACTTTATTGTTGAAGAAAGTGGCTGGGTCAGGATTTTGACATTTCCCCGGATTCCAGCATCCCGGGAAATAAACTTTTAGATCCCTTTTACTTCTTTTAAAATGCATATCTGAAAGAAGGATTTGACCCTTTTATAGTGATTAGTGTCTCATGAATCTCATCTCTTTCCCTTCGTTTACTTATTAATTTTTTACTTATAATGCTACAATCTGTCGTTACGTTGAATAATGTTTAAAAACCTACATATAAACTTGTTCGTTCTCGTTCTCGCTAGCGTTTAATAATTATTCTCGTTTACCGATTATTGATTTATCGGAAATATTGCTCAATGTTTTCGCGTAACATTCGAAAAAGGCATATCATCTTTTGTAAACAAAACGTGTAATACTATTTTCTCGTGAACCGAAGTACACCCACGCAAACCAATAAAACTATTGGGAAGGGGAGAATTTGAACAATCGGGTAACTGTAAAAGTCTTAGGAAAAATCACTCAAATCTAGCAGATAACCTGCCAAATGGATAATTTCTTAATAAATCCTAAATTTTATCCCAATGAACTTCTTCTTCTGTATTTCAAAATTATTGCTTATCGCATATTAATAGCTTAGATCGTGCTCTCAACTTAGTGTTCTAGATGCACTTCCACAGTTATTAATCGAGAGTTTTCGATGCCTGTACCAGTTTTGCATTAGTGTAATTGTGTGACAAGTACAATCATGCTCATACTCTCCCGGACCAGGAATCGAACCCAGCCACCTACAGCATGGTCTTGCTTTGTAGCTGCGCCTCTACCGACTGAGCTAAGGGAGGCTTCTAACTATCCTCAAAAATTTAGATGGTGTTTGGAATATCAATTCAAGCATTTTCATTATTATTATTTTTATCATCACTGCAGTCCCAGGGTGGCCGGTGAACCGGGAATTTAAAGACTAACCGGAAAAATCCCGCAATCTCGACAGGAGAGCCGGGAAAAATCAATAAACCTTAGAATATGGGTAAATTTTTACGTCAGAGTATCAGAATCAATTGCCTTGTTCTCGGTAAATCGGTATTTTTATCTATTTTTGAACTTCATCCCCATAAACAATTAAGGCCAAAAATGATACCGAATTTCTGTTTATGATACCTATAAATATCGATTTACTCCTAAGGGCACTTTTCTCCCAATCGTTCTTTCGAAATGCACATGTTTATTGAAGGTCAGATCATCAAATTGTTTATGGCTGAGGCATTTCCAAGGCTGAACCCTAAACCCTAAAGACAATTTTCTAAAAAACGATTGCATGCTATAACTATCATTTCACAATCAATTTGGAACATAATAATTGTAAGAAACTGGATAGTAGATCACTTAATATAATCAAATTAAATAAGAATTAACTTCACGACTCAGATCTAATATACATGATTATATCAACTTACGGATCCATACAACTTTTGCTTGAAGTTGTTCCAAGTTTTATACCGTGCGACAGAAATCAGTATGTTAATGCTCAGTTCCAGGGAGTTTCTTTAAATTCATTCTAGATTTTTCTAGGAATTTTTCACAGGATTTCTTTGGATTTCGTTAGGATTTTTTCTCATAATTCTTAAGGAAATATTTAAAAAATTCCCATTGAATTGTTAATTCTTATTAAAAAGTCTTATAACAAACCTTTAACGTGAAGGTAAAATAAATTGCCAGCGTTCACGTCGCAAAAAATATCCTTGTTTTATAAATATCAATGGATGCACCGATATAGAACTGGCCGAGTAGCTGGCAATCTCTTCTACACCCTTGGTTTTCAATAAAAAATAAACATGACATCACATAAACTAGACCATAAGCAAAACAGGAGACAGCAAATCCTCAGCATTATATCAGGCATAACATTTGATAACGGCACAAAAGCATTTGTAAACAAACTTTCTAAGGCCTTTTTCACGCGAAGCAAAATACGCCCACGCAAACCGATACCACTTTCGGAAAGGTGGAAAGTTGCCCCTATCCGATGATGTTGTTGGTTTGCGCGGGCGTACTTTGGTTCGCGATTAAAGGGCCTTAGAAAGTTTGTTTACAAATGCTTTTGTGCCGTTATCAAATGTTATGCCTGATATTCAATTTAGTTTACATCCCCGGGTGGGACAACGAATAACAACTTACGGACACTGTTGCCATCTACCCTGATTGTGTTTTCACCCAATACATTTTTTTTAGTGTTAGTCTTAGTGTTAGTGTATGGTGAAGTCGGAAAGATTTATCTGAAGTTTGTTTTCATCTCCTAGAAATACATATGAATGCAGGATTTCCTCACCCAAATAATCAAAAAGTGCCATATATTTAAATTTTGAGACGTTTATTCATCTAGTCCTACGTAGGCGTCGCTAAACACTCGTTAATATCTGCTTTGTTTTCGGCGCCTCTAATGTCGTTTTCGTTTTTGCGGTGTAGCTGCACCGGTGCTACACTGCCGTACACCGAAATAATTTAAGGTGTAGATATAGGATGCACCTTTGTTTACAAACAAATGATGTTGAGCTGTCAAAGACTCGTGCTTATTCCTGCTTACACTACACCGGTGCTACACCGCAAAAACGAAAACGACATAAGCAAACACCCACTACTTGCCATCCAACGTACTCACGTTCACCGCAACAACGTTCGTTCACGTATATCTCCGGAAAGGTAAATGTCTATTAGTTAGACGTTATTTCTGTTCTCTTTATCGAAACTGGTAACTGGTGACAGGCACTAAGATACTATATGGCCAGTGACGTTGACAAATTTTCCAACCCGAAAATATCCTTGGCAAGACAGGACGATCCCATTAAATTACTTACGTATAATCAATTCCAACGTGTTGCAGAATGTTTGTTGTAGAATGATGTTATATCTTATGATCTACGTGGCGTGGCACATTCTGAATAATGTAGAATTATGTGATGTCCAAACAAACACACACGCTTAATACAAAACTTAAATCTCTAGTCTGTGGACACTTCAAATCGCGATAATAATTCATAAAATTTAAACATGGATCACGATACCAAAAGTAGACGTCTACGGCGGCAGGCCAAGCAGCAAAACATATTGACCATCAACGCTAACAATCCATAATTTACCCATCGCAGGTAGCATTACCACCCCGTACTCGTCTCGTTACCACAGCCGATGTCCAGTCGGGAAATACGGTCGTCCAAGTGCCGGTATCGCTACCGGTCGGGACGCTCATCGGTGGCACTACCTTCAATGTGCTCACCCCGGACCAGATACAACATTTCAAACCGATGATCTGCGTGGATAACAACGGTTTCGTATCGGGCAGTACCGTTGTAGGAGATCTGAGCGGTGATCTCAAGCCAACGCATATCGTAATCCAACAGCAAGGAACGGACCAACAGCAACAGGTAATACACGATGAACAGACACTTCTGGACCAAGTTCAACATCAGTCACAGCAGCAAGAATACCGTCTAGAGAGCAGCGTCATCGACAGACTAAATAATCTTGACATTCTACCGGTACGCTGCAAAACAACAACGGGAGATTTATACAAAAGTCGGCTGGGTTCCGGTGGCCGTGGCAAATGTATAAAGCATAAGGATGGCTGGTATACTCCTAGCGAGTTTGAGAATATATGTGGTCGGGGCTCAAGTAAAGACTGGAAGCGGTCCATTCGTTACGGTGGACGCAGTTTGCAGGCGTTGATCGATGAAGGAATCCTAACGCCTCACGCCACAAGCTGTACCTGCTCAGCCTGTTGTGATGATGAATCAGGTTAACTTCATACTGTTTTCTTTGACCTTATTGTCTCAATTAATATACTATGTTCTTTTATAGCTGCCTCTGGACCGGTACGATTGTTTACACCCTACAAGCGGAGGCGGCGAAATCAAATAGAACCCGAGCAACCGGAGAAAAAGAAGAGAATTATTGTAAATAACAACACAAACACTAGTAATAACAACATCCACATCAATAACATTAGCAACAGCGCCATCAGCAACACGAGTACTACAACAACCGCCGTAAACCACCAGAATACCACCGTTAGTCATACGGTACAGCAACAGCAGCAGCAACAACAACAACAACAACAGCAACAGCAAGTGCAACAACAGGTCCAGCAGCAACAGGTTCAACAACAGCAGCAGCAGCAGCAACAACAACAACAACAGGTTCAACAGCATCAAGTACAGCAACAAATTCATCAAGCAGCAGCCACTATCAATGCAACACCGATAATCACCAACAATACCAGCACCACAACTACGACCACAACGGTGAAGGTGGTCCAACAGGAACAGCAAGAGATTGAAAATGAGCTCGCGATCACCACCAAAGAGGAACCATGGCAAACCCTAACCGAAGGAATAGAGAGTGCCACAGAATACGTCGACCAATCGACTCAGTGTAAGTTTACGCCCTGTAGCAGGTAAAGGCCGCAGAGCATGATGAATAATCATATCAACAGTCTTAATAGCTGACATTTCCTACGTCACATGCACGCCACATGGTCTCCTATTCTAATCAACTTTATTTCCCTTGTAGTAATTACGGAAACGAATCTACCATTCGAGAAGCTGAAAGCACTTTGCTCCCAAGTGTCCAAGGCGATGCAGGAAATGAATAAATGCCTGGCAGAAGTTCATGATGTGCACGATCGCCAGTTGGAACGGTTACAGCGTGAACGGGACGCTGCAATCCTGACTGTGACGCAACTGGAAGAGCAGAACAACATCAGTAGTCAATTACCACCCGGTTCGGTTCATGCCAACAAAAAGGTAATTATTCAGTTTATCAATCGATAAGTTATAATAGGTAAGCGACTACCTTCTGTTTAAACCTTTATATTCGCAACACTGCAAAACGTTTGCATTCTTACTATCTTCTGAAAACCACATGTTACATATTTTCGGATGTCTGATATTAGCTTGCTCTGCATTTCTAAAACAATTGAGTAAACATTTTTGTTGAAAGATTAATATTTTTAATTTTGCAAAATAACGTGTGGTGCCCGTTTACCGCTCACTTTAGAGCAAAATTACGTTTACAACGTTAGAATAACTCAAGTCTGTTTTTACGTGATTTTGATTTTTTTTTTATTTTGCCCTCATGGCCCCCAGGTAGGGGGAGGAGGGGCATAGTGAACATCCCGCAGTTTGGTCCTGGATCTCTAGCTGCATGAAACAAATCAACTGGTAGTAGGTTCAATATCATTATGATATTGATCCTACTACCAATTAATTTGTACCTAACGACCGGAAGTCCAAGCTGGTGCACGGGATGCTCACTATGCCCCTCTTACCCCTACGGCATTTTCAATACCACCGGAGTTTCTTGTGATTTTTTGAAACAAGTTGGTTGAAAATTGAAAACACACGATCAAAAATAAAACAGAAATGAGTGTATTGCGAATATTTTTACACCTTTTACGTTGTTTTTCCATTTTACAGGTAAACAATTATTCTACTAAAACGTTCGTCAATCAATTTAGAATATTTTTAAGTTATCTTGAAGTTGAAGCACCGACGAAGTTGAAGGTCATTTCATAAGCATACGGGAAACATATAAAACATCCAAAAAATGCTATCAATAAATGTGCTGCTCATTCCATAATGGAAATACAACTCGTAATTGAAGGAACTATCGAGTTATGAAATTCATAATTCATTTTTTCTATGGTAACTCGATATCGAGTTGTTGAGAGTGGGCCGTATTTAATTTTTGTAATTTCGACATTTTTCAACCATTTAAGGGGCCGTCCTTATGCCACTTAGGGGGCATCCTAAATTAGTGAATTAGTCTGTTAAATGTATATTTGAAACTTGTTTAGTGAACTTTTTCAGCAAGTTTTGAATAAAATGAGTGGTGAATAGAGGTTTAGCGGTGAACAGACAAGACCATACTTAGGGGAAAGTGGGGCAATGTGGTCACCCGCATAAAAACCAACTTATTGAACATATTTTACAAAAAATATGTTGCAGGCTTAATGCTTGGCTTGCCTACTTCAACTATCCATTTCATTTCAGGTGTTTCCTTGTAGAGTCAATTTTCCAATAACACCTCGCAATTTCAAGAGCACACAACTCAAGATCTACGAGGTTTATACATCTGCAAATTTCAGACAATGCTTGCTTCTCCGCAGCAAACAATAAGTAGTAGTTTAAGCTACGTACATTCACAGAAACCTTAATATTTAACACGCAAAAGGACGCTACAGGAAATCACCTTAAGTCTAACAAAATACTTTTCTCTAGAGCAAATATTCGAAAATTGTTGGACTAGCTCAAAATGTCAAAACTGTTATAAGATTTATGAATCAGAAAATAAGGTCTATCAGTAGTTTCTTATTACTTATCGTTGATATTCCTTAGGCTTCTTTATAAATTATCATTGGTTTCTTATATGACACGATGTTTTTCTCAATTTTAATAAACATTAAAGATTGTTTTAACAAAATATTACTTAAGTTCATTCGGGGCAATATGAGCACAACTGATATTTCAACTTAAATTCTTCAGTTTTGCATTATTCCTTTCATAAAAATCCATCATTCACAAGACTGAAAAAATATATCCTTAAATAGGCAGTATTTTCGAAATTTAATTTATTCTACAGAAAATAGTTTTCTGTTAAATCTTTTATGCTAAAACTGTTAATTGTTGACCCTTCATAAAACCTCAAGAGTTGTTTATAAGAAGGTCGCTCATACCACCCCAACAGGGTGCTCATTTTACCAAAACGGTTTAATTACAGTTACAAAACGAACATTTTTTAAATCTTCTTGCTTAAGATTCAAAAGTTTACTTTTAATATTCAATTTGTATCTTCTTCTTCGCATTTCAAGCTTATTGCATGCTCTCAACTTAGTGTTCTAGATGCACTTCCACAGTTATTAATTGAGAGCTTTCGATGCCTGTACCATTATGCATTAGTATAATTCTGAGGCAAGTACAATCTTTATTGCCCAGGGAAGTCGAGAAATTTTCCAACCCGAAAAATTCCTAGACCGGACCGGGAATCGAACCCAGCCACCTCCAGCATGGTCTTGCTTTGTAGCAGCGCCTTCACCGACTGAGCTAAGGGAGGCCCAATTTGAATTCATGATGTAAATAGGGTTTGAAACTATCCATTTGGTTAAGGGGGTAGTACACTTTAAACGTCCAAAAAGTAAGGCATTTTCGTTAATTTGTTTAAGCAATAAAACACTCAGGGAGGGCAAATATGTTATAACCCATTTATTAGTCATCCTTCAAACTACAATTTGTATTTTTTTGAACTCGATTGGCGTCTCCCCGTGGCCGGTGCACCAGGAAAATACTCCTTTCCATGTGATCCTGGAACATAAATCGAACAAAAATCCTGATTAGTAATGAAATTTGGGTTAGAAATACGTATTCCGATTTTTCTTTAAATTAATTTTTTCAAAAGTTGTAGCCTTAGGAAAAAAAAGTCCATTTTTTCACCCTAAAAATGCTTACAAAATCGTGGATTAAAAATCCATCGAAAATGTGGATACGTATTTCTAAGCAGAATTTAATTCTGAACAAGAAAACCTAGGCGATATCCAAATTTGATGATAACTGGTTACTCTCCCACGCCAGTTTGAAAAACCCCGTTTCGAGATAAACGCATTTAAAGATAAAATTGCTCTCTCAGCGCGCCGGTACATGTTTTAGGAAATCGCTTCGTAAAGCGGTAAGGAATATTCTGGCGGACTTGGAGTCTTTTCTAAATTAAAGGATACATCCCAAGAAACATTTTAACGCAAAAAAAAATGCATTTTTTTTTTTGAAAAATCAAAGTGTACTCCCTTCTTAATATGGAAAAACTAGGTTTTGTGTGTCCAGTCCGCATCGTCCTCTCTTGGCGCGTGGATCTATTTGCTTTTTGCTGAAGGAAGTGTTACGGTGTTACTGCTACCTAAAGTTACAACAAATTTAGATAGCACTTTTCAGCGCTCAAAATTACCTGCAAATTTTCTATTTTGTTTGGACTCTACCCGATATAATCCTGCTTGGACATCGATTTTGAAATTTCCTCTTCGATCCCTCGGATTCTTATAATAATCTGCTTGGAAATCGATTCTTCTGGCGCCATGGCACCTAAACCCAAAAGAAAGGGGCAATCTCTTGATCCCTCTTCTGATGAAATGTATTTGAACAATCAATTTGATATGATCACGGATGATGAGAATGATCCATCATCCAAGCAAAATTCCATTAAACATTCCCGGTGCCAAGAAGGCAAAGGTCCCCCCTATTATGATAACCGCTTCTGATTTCCATGATCTTCGCACGGAACTTTTGACCTTCGTTAAATTCAAGATATCTCTCCAAATCGGTCGTCGGGGTGAATGTCGTTTATTGAATGATAACTTTGAAGGATCCAAACGTCTTCTCAAGTATCTCAAGTATACTGAGAAGCAACACCAATTTTTCACTTACGACTCTAAAACAGGTTGTCTTTTTTTTTTTTTTCCTTTGGTTTGTTTTTCCGTCGATCTTGTTTTCCGTGCTGAGCACCAATGCTACCGACGTGCCAGGAAAGCAGCTCCCACACCTGGACCCTACCTATCGACCCATCAACTCATGAACCGGGGACCAACGGCTTTACTTCCCTTCCGAAGGAAGGCGTGATCAGCGATGTTATGCCTCAGAACATCCCGGCGGCGCTGACTGGGATTGAACCCAGGCCTGCTGGGGTGAGAGGTAATCACGCTTACCACTACACCACCGGCGCCGTTTAAGGTTGTCTTGAAAGCAGTGGCGTCGCGTAACCTCACTTTTTACCTGTGCACCAACTTTCAAAACCAGATTTACTGCCATATTCATACTCGAATCGGTTGAAAAACACACTTAATCTTCTAGTTAACTCGATATCTATCCATTACAAGCAATATTTTGACAATTGTTTATGTTTTGAGAGTTGGTCCACAGGTAGATTGAGGTTAAGGCGACGCCAATGCTTGAAAGGTCTGCCCAATGGTGAATTCTTGGATCAGATCAAAGATGATTTGGCAAAATTACTTGGAGTTGCGCCAATCCAAGTAATCACCCCGTAACGTGGGTAGATCACCTTTCCGTTGTACGTTACGGGATGTAAGATCTACCACCGATTCCTAGTCATGTCTACTTCAAACTAGGGGAACCGGATTTTTCAGTGATCAAAGGAACGCATCTTAGTCCTTGTTACTTTTTATGGCTTGTTGATAGTGACAAGACTCGGCTTTGTCCACCGAAGGTGATCTTGAAACAAGGAACAAATGAGTTAGTTAGTCTTCATCTATGTGATTCCTAATCTTCTATTCGTTGTTCCCTAGTTTGAAGTGGTTAAGACTAGGGTTCTGATGCATGGTCATTATCGGTGCCATTTTGTTGCTAAGGAATCCAATTTTGACTAACAAAGGAGCGCGCTGGGTGTTTCAACACTCCGAAGGGTATAAATAGCGGGACCTTTCAATTAGAGTCGGATCCTTGCGATAAATGCAAGAATGACAACTGTAAAAAATCGAATACTTCATCATTTCTCAATAGTGATGAAGTAATACGACATGCACTAAACTAAGGACACGGTATACACTACAATAGATCAAATTACTGGTCGCAGTGGTGTTAGGTCCCGATTAGAGGAAAAAAAAAGTAATCAAAATGAAAATCAAATCCCGTCCTGGTGATTCGCGCATTTTATTTAGTTCACTTTAAGTCTAGTAAACTAAACAACCTTAAGGCCTAAGAAAAAGTTAGCCTTCTGCTCCATGTCCGAGTGAAGCGGAAACTTCCAAAACCTCACCCAGTGCCGTAAGCGCCAGTGATAGGGTCACGGAACAAAAAATTGCTACATGCCAGTTAAATGCATGAATTGTGGTGATTCCTCTTACGCAAAGGACGAGGAAGATCCTTATAAATTTAAATGTTCAAATTGTGGTGAAAACTAAAAATCAAATTTTTGGGAATGTAAGACTTGCAAAGCGATCCTACAATCTCGTTCTAAGCAATAGGTAAGAAACGCTCCACGTTCCCGACTACTAATTTCTCTGCTGTTAACAACGGCCAGCGAGGAACAAATTCTACATTCGTACACGTAGGTACAAACAGCTTAAAGACTTAAAATTATTCATCTATACCTTTATCTACATCTATGCTAACAATGTTCAGCAAGTAAATGGAGCTAACTATGCTGGATATTTTGAATTGGAATGCTCGATCTCTTAAAGATAATGAAAACGAGCTATTTAACTCTTTGATAGTTCAAAACGTGCATATCGCCGTTATAACTGAAACGTTTCTTAAACCTGACAATAAGGTTAAAAGGGACGCAAACTATTTCATTTATCGGTTTATGGAGCCGGTGGTGGCGTTGCCATCATTTTTCATAGACGAATCAAACATAAAATTATTTCTTCATTTGAAACCAACTTGACGACTTCAATAGTTGAAGCAAGAGCTGCCTCAGTACCAAAATGCGGGGTTAAATTCTAATCAATTATAATAGACGACGATCTGCAGCTCTTGATCCGTTGGATAAATGTCATTCGATCCTGTCATGAAAGTAATCTGGCGGGATTTGCAAAATTAAAAAGCGATTGTCTGCCCTGAGGAACACAACTTTTGAAAATAATGTTGGATTATCTGAATATGTTCTCTCGGGAAAATATTTTTGGTGATTCCAAGGGGAACGCTTTGAAAACTCTACTTATAATATTCCCACATAAGCCTAGAGCTTCCTTTTTGAAACCTACACTAATAAAAATGTAATGATTATTTTCATGTGTCCCACACATGAAATTTTGCAATGTGATAAACAAATGACATGTGTCGGACACATAGTTCTAATGTGTACACATAAAATTCATGTGAAACCACAGATATTATTCATTTGTCTAATAAACTTAATGTGTACTTCTGAGTGGATTCTGTTTATGTGTGGACACATGAAAATCATGTGGAATTTTAATGGAAATTCGCCAATAAAAATGTTTTATGTTATTTTATGAGTGTAGTAGTAGTCACTATGAACGGAGTTCCAATTTCTTGGTCAAGTCAAGTGAAATATCTTGGATTAGTACTTGACCATTAACTTTTAAAGATCACATGCCAAATGTAACAAATATATAAAATGTTTGTATCCTCGTATAAACAGTGAATACTTACAAACTTTGCCTGAAGAATAAACTTCTAATATTTAAACAAGTTTTAAGACCGGCCATGCTTTATGCTGTGCCAATATGGTCTAGTTGTTGCACGATCAGGAAAAAAGCACTTCAAAGGATTCAGAACAAAGTTCTGAAGATGATTTTGAAGTTGCCTCCCTGGTACAGTACTACCGAAGTACATAGAATTTCGAATGTTAAGACTTTAGAAAAAATCGACAGTGAGCATGCATAAGGGCGTATACAGATCGATTCTCGACATCGATTTTCTCTTTGCATTGCTACAAACAGCTAAGCGAAACAAATTTTCTAGAATTTGTTAAATGCAGAGTTGTAACAGGTTGTTTTAGATTTAGTTTTAGTTTTTAGTTTAAGATAACAATAGTTATACTGACAAAGTGAAACCTGTTTAAAATACTGAATTTCCAAAGCAGAATCATATCACAACACATAAAGCTGGTAAGTTATTGTAGTAGCTGGAGGACCTGCATTAAAATTAATAATTTGAATTTGGAACAAATTTAGAGTTAAAAAAATGTGTTAACGCTTAAGCTTGGTAAGTCTTCACATAGACAAGTGTATATGGGTGGCCAGAGTGGGGATCATTACATTACAATCACAGCTTTTGTTTAAGACGTAATTTTGATTAAAGGAGACGATTTCGTGCTAGTTTTTTTTTAATGTCGAATCATTATCCATTTTTTTTAAATGAGGCATCGGGTCACTTTGACGTTTCTAAATATATTCTGTTTATCTTGCATGCAACATTGTTTGCGACTGAGTGAGCTAGCTGGTTTTGCGTGATAAGCTCGAGATATGTCGTTACTGAGGTCCTACTTTTTGAGGTACAATCTTTGCAAGAAAAACTTATTCAAAAAGCTACGTCTGTTTGTCTGTGTTCATACATTTTGTATGAGAAATTTTCCATTTTTTATAGTGCATACTATACTCTTTGGTCCTTGGTTCCTACTTTATTTTAATCACCATTCATTCCTATTCCAGTGTGCCAACTGCAACCGGGAAGCGCTGGCCGAGTGTTCACTCTGCCGGAGGACGCCGTACTGTTCGACCTTCTGTCAACGAAAAGACTGGATCACGCATCAAAACGAGTGCGTGCGAAGTACGCAGGAAGCGACACATCAGATCATGCTGATAGTAGATGAAACTCAATAACCTTTAATTTTCTAATTGCGACCGGCTCGACGTGGTTAAAGGGAAACGAGGATTGGGTCGATTAAGGCTGCAAAAGTACCTTAAAAGTGAGAGGTATAGAGAATAAGTACTATTCGTCGCAGCTCCGAGAGATCCGCCATCTTCGTTGGTCGCAATAAATCAATGGGCACGTTTGCCGGGCGGCATACTACTATTGAATTGAGGAAATGTTTTATATTTTAATAGCAAAGTCTAGATTTTGTTTTTTTTTTATAAATGTGGAAATCGGACAGAACTGGATTCACTCACGAGGGACTTATCTGTAGAGACCGGAAAACTCTACCCCGTTCACAGTAGATTCTTTTTTTTTTGTTTTCATTTTTATTAGGAAATTGCGCGAAAGTACATATATTTAATGATTAAAGTGTGTATGTAAGACACGAAGAGAAAATTTAGAAGAAACTTTATTTAAAAAACTTCTATCATTTAAATAATAAGAGATGTTAACTCTTATTTCGTTTTATTTATTGTTTTATTTCAGTTATATCACATCACTTTTTTTCAGTTGAGCTTCCATAGCCGCGGTATCTCTGGAAGAAACACTTATTTAAAAAAAGAAATCAGTATCGCTGAAATACCTACCAAACGAAAGCTTAGGGTCACCCATTTCATATGAGACTAATATGGAAATGTTCTGTCGGGGGGTCTACAATTTTTAATTGTTTTTCAGTGTAAATCACGTTTAAAAATTAACTCCCATTGAAGATAAAGAAAAATTATGGAAAATAACCCCCGATACAACATTTTGAATTTAGCCTCAAACGAAACAAGTGCACGTAAGATTTCGTTGGTGGGTATTTAAGCGATACTTATTTTTTTATAATAATGTTATCCTACCAGGGACACCCGTGTAGCATTTATTTTCATTTTAGTGGTTTTAACTAACGTTTAGTAGGTTCAAGTTCGCTTTTAACTACCTATGTTATAGTTGATTGTTATTTTCGCAAATTGTTATGATTAATTATTCGTTGATTTTTTACACCTACATGTTTTATATTTCAAAGTCATTTTGATACTGGACAAAACATGGATAGACATAGCAATTAATCAATAATTACATTTGGTATTGTTTCACTACCGTTGTTCTTATAAATGTCATCGGAGATTACGTATATTATCAATTATTCCCCCAGAAGTTTGAAATCCCTCCTGTAAATAATCAATCAAAATCAATTAGGTAACAGACCACATTCCATAATGGAACACAACTCATACACAAAAACGAACACCTAACACCTTCCTTTCCCTTCCGAAGTGAAAGTAGTCGTCTAGCATTAATTAGTCATCATTGATTGTATGAAATTGAACATTAGATAAATATATTCTCCTGAACCGCTGATAGATGGCAGCAGTAAAGGATTGCGATTAGACAACAAATGTAATTTTCTGCGAACATTGATGGTTTTATAGTGGGATTAAGTAGTACGGTAGAGGCCACACGTCTTTTGCTACAACAAGCATTAAAGAATTGAAAATGAGCTTGCCGCTGAATTGTCATTTATATTGTAGGACGGGATGCTCCTGTGCAACAAATTTACCAAAATCCTTAAAGAAAAAAATATGATTCACCGTGTCTTCAATTAGCTCAAACTAAACACCAATTATGGTTAATCAGCATTAAGAACCAGCACTAGTGTAAACCTGGCGTAAACAACGAACTGAAAAAGTATGACCAGCAGCGCTACGAAACATTCATAAAAATCTTCATGTTAGTGTTACGTGAAAAATCACGTAACTCCTAAAACATCCCGCTTCAATAATTTCTACATGACCAACGTACGATCTACGTATCGTCACTTGAATTTCAAATAAAATTCTGATAAAACATACGTGATTTTCATGTCGACTAGTGTCATGCCAATATTAAGTGTTCAGTATGTACTTATAAACAAATTCAATATAATGCAATATTTACATATTTATTGTTAACAGCAACAGGCTGGCTCCAATGACGGCATAAAAGATTAACATAAAAGTAAGGTCAAATGAATAAACTACATATATTAGAATGACTAGAGGAAATTGATGTAATGTCGGCCTAAATGCTCCTAATTTGGGCCCATACATAAATTCAGCAATCGACTAAATTTTCAATGGCGAACAAAAATATCCATTAGTGAGTGCTACTGGCCCAATGACGCGTTCATCTAGATAAAATTGATAAATAGCAGATTTTTAGCGATGGGCCCAATCTTAGATCCATAGGCCAACATTAGAGCCATTTCCCCTATGTCACGGTTTAACGAAAAACGAAGCAAATCTTCTGCGTAGCATCTGTCGTGGCAGGCAGAAGTCGACTACCGGCGAGACTTGACCGTTCATGCTGTAGTTAGTGCGACTAAGTAACAATCCCAACATAACGTTGTTCCGCAGTGCTGGTGGTTGGACGTTTACATTAATCTGCTCCACGAGAGCGGGGCAGTCTATTCTGCCCAGTAAGCTGTCCGAACAAAGTCCTAGAAGGATCTCTACCAATTCAAAACGGCTTTAAATCGATCAGCTGGTGTTTACTATAAACGAATCGAAGAAAACGACGTTGAACGGACTCAACTCTCTCAGCACGATTGTTGTAGTTCGTGTACCAGACTGCAGAACAGACCGCTCCAGCGAACAGTACAGTGTTTTGCGACGTAGATGTCGGAGAAATGTTTATCCTGAAGATTAAAAGCCCAATGTTCTTGACGCCTTCTCGACAACATACGAGATATGCTGGTTGTACGTTAGCTGCAAATCCAGAATAACTCCCATATGTACAGTTCATAACTATACAGAATCGGTTCTTTTATTTCTGGGATTTTTTTTTTCTTTATTTGTTTTCCGTCGATCTTGTTTTCCGTGCTGAGCACCAATGCTACCGACGCCAGGGAGGTAGCTCCCACACCTGGACCCTACCTATCGACCCATCAACTCATGAACCGGGGACCAACGGCTTTACTTCCCATCCGAAGGAAGGCGTGATCAGAGATGTTATGCCTCAGAACATCCCGGCGGCGCCGACTGGGATTGAACCCAGGCCTGCAGGGGTGAGAGGTAATCATGCTTACCACTACACCACCGGCGCCGCTTCTGAGAAAATTTGATTACTGAACACTTCTCACACTGCACAAGTTGGCAAGGCATCGAACTGATAAAAAAGTGACAGTTACCAATCGAACAGATCCGGAAATAGATTTTAAGATAATCTGCATCGTCGAGAGTCGTAGTCATTCGATGACCAGATTCACATCGTTGAAAAAAAGTAAGAAGATCAATGGTCCTAGGTGACTTCCTTGAGATATCCCCGATATAGCTGGGAAAATATCAAAACTGCAATCATCAGCTGACGATTAGTGAGATATGAGCGAAACCATCGCACGTAGTTTTGCAATCCCAACGGGGTTGTTTAGCTTATCGAAGGCTGCTGACAAGTCGGTATATATGACGACTGTTTAAGCCAGTCATACTTTCCGTGATATACGGTATTGGTTTTACATTTTGTATGGGAAACAGAACGATCCTATTGACACAGACAAACAGGAGTAACTCTTCATTCTGGATCTTCATTGACGCATTTAACGATAGATTTGAATATTATCATTTCCGCGAACTACACACCGCAGCGCTGGCATCGGATCACTTTGACGTTTCTATATATTCTGTTTACCTTGCATGCAATATTTTTTGCGACTTAGCGAGCAAACTTGTTTTCCGAGAGAAGCCCAAAAGATATCGTTACTGAGGTTCTATGTTTTTAGATACTATTGCCAATTCAGAGAAAACTTAGGCTGTGAACCATTTGCCGTGTTAAATTTAAAGCGTGGTTAAAAGTGACATTTCGAAAGTTGTTTTCTACGTTCGAAAATCCCTGTGCTGTCGATCGACCGGTTTTCGAGAAGAACTCAGCCACAGTTGTCAAAATTTAACTTCTTGTCTGTCAGAAGTAACCACGCTCGGATAGCAGGGTTAATCGATAACTTTCCATCTGTCAAATTTTAACCAAAAGTTAAAATAATCCACCAAATGGTTTAGCATTTGGCGTCAGATTGTCAGCTTTAATAGCATGCTGTGGGTGTCAGATGTGTCGAATTATTTTCACTGAAACGACAATATGTTTTCAAGTAAAACTTATTCAAAGCGTTACGTCTGTTTGTCTGTACTATTTATTTGATTATCCAAATAAATTTCACCAAATCTTGGACTTGTATTGAGAATACTATACAAAATAACATTGTCGAAGACTGCAACTCGATTTGATCTTTGTACAAAAAGCTACTAATCTTTTACGTTAGACCAAGTGTTGTACACGTACTTACAACTTATAAGCTCATATATAAAGCCTGTAGGTATGAGCAGAGCAATAGGTCTAAATTAATGTATTTATAACTTTTTTTTCTCAGAAGTCTAATCGATTTGCAGTCTTCTACAAAGTTGTTCTACATAGTATTCTTAATCTTTTTCCGAGATTTGGTAAAATTTGAGCATTTTTTGGCAAGCAAATGAATAGGTTCGTTTTGTTTCCCATACAAAATTAAATATTGTCACGCAAATCCAGATTAGAACCAAATTCGTTCAAATTTTGTTCCGTTGTTGGGGGACTCAATACACATCGGAAGAGTAGTGAGCTTTGTGATCCATCCAAGAAAACAAACGGGATTGAAGTGACTTCACCGTTCAACACAATTGACGATAAAATGCCGGACTCTCCGCGCTGCCCATCTACATACTTTCAGAAAGATTTGAGTTTGCTCTGAATCCCTCGTACATATCGCATCGACGACTAACTCGTAATGGAACCTATATTTTGTGAATTTCCGCAATGCAGTCAGAGGGTCTAGGGTATGCTGGGTCAGAGGGATTAGGGTATTCCGAAGTGCTTTCTACGATACGTTCCGGGTTCCAAACAGCTGTAACGTTTCCTCCATTAGCAGAATCTAGTACGCTGAAGTTCGAACTGACTTCAGGCAGTGAATGATCAACATTGAATTTATACTTGCCTGACTTACCAAGTTGGAAGACCCCCGATCCACATCGAAACTCAGGGCCGGGACGGCTATGATGAACGATGGCTGGAATCGGCACGACTCAGATAGAGGAACCCGGGGCTTATACAATACTTTCTGCGGTGCGTCCCGGTTGAGAACTTAAACCATTCGTCTGGAATGTAGAATATAACGAAGCCACCTCGTTATGCTTCGGGAAATTAGTGAGAACCTGGATGCGAAGGAGTTCATCACAAAACGAAAAACTTTAATCACAATCTACGGTGCGTCTCGGTTGCATTCCTTTGTCGCCAGATGGATTAATTAGTCGTCGTTCCATGAGAATAGCTATAGAACTTTTTAACAGTGAAATGAAGAAAAAAAATTAGGTTTAAATAGTTTTAAGTAATTTTAGGTTAAAACCCCAAAACTTTTATAACAAAAAATTAGCCTCTTCAATATTATGCAACTGATTTTCGTCAATAAGCTTATGAA